CACATACATAGGTGTAGCCTGTGCCCCGAGGAAATTATAACTCAAGACAAGCTAACGCAGGCACTCTCGCGCCGGCTGGTGCCAGTGGGGGTGGTGTGCAAAGGTGATAATTGAAAGTTGCTGGGTTTTGGGGTTTGTTTGAGTGGGTTTTTTCCCCCTGCTGAGTCAACAGCAGGTTGTTTTCTACCTCCTGCTTCCTTTGGTGAAGGCAACAGCTTCTGTTCAACCTTGATGTAGCTTGGTAAGACAAGCAGTTGGCCATTGGGGTTGTGCCAGGACCATTGCCTGGCACCCAGGGAACAAGGGTAGGAAAGTGTGGAGGAGATGGGCAGTAGCTCATGTCTGTGGGGAGGTATATGGACCATGTTTACAGAAGCCAGGAGACAAGAGATTCACTTCATTCATAAAATCTGAACTTCTGATTTGGTCTCCAGAGGAAAAGATAAACACAAGGTAGGAATCGCTTGCCTTTGGGGAGGAGAATGGTGGATGAAGGTAGAGAGTGTGTCAAAACTAAGGGGAGATGGCGGGGAGAAATGCAGCTGACATGGGCTGCTGGCTCCAGGAACGGCCGTGCTATGCCCCAACCATGGACATGGGCTTGACATCAGCCTTCTGGTGCTGCAGGACCTTAGCCCAAGATGTCCTCTGGCTCCACGGCTGAATGCTAGTTTTATCTTCGCAAACAGCTGGATGAAAACTTCGGACACCCAAAACAAGGCAGGCTTGGAGCATGAGAAAAACAGGTCTCTGCTTGCAGGACAAATCTCCTCCCTCCCCCTCCCTTGATTGAGAACTTCATATCCGAAAATCATTGAGCAGAAGTACAACAGCTTCAGCCTCTGAAGGCTGCCAAGCATTCTTGCTGAGTGAAGCTGTTTAAGTACACGGAAACACGGCCGAATCTGGGGCTTGCGTAAACCTTTCTTACCCTGAACAAAAGACCTGCTCCCATGGCAGTCAGGTGCATGCACGAATCCCTGCCTGTGAAAACACGCTGAACCAGTCTCTGTGCAAAAAAAGACAGGTTTGACCAGAATGGCCCCTTGTGCAGAAAGGATCTGCCAGCCAAGCTGAGCATCAAAGGCTGATGGCTGCGCTGGGTGCTCCACAGGTTCCAATTAGCACCGGCATGAGCAGAGCCCAGATTTTGCAGTACTAAAGGCCACAACCAGCATCCAGCCTCAGGCTCCAGCAATGCGTCTTGTTTGCACGAATGCATCTGAGTTTGTTCATCTGTCTCCCTCAACGGGATAGCTGCAGAGAGCTGCAGTGTGTGGAGCAGCACGAAAACCGCCAGCCCCAAAGTCTCCTGGCTGTCCAGCATCCCTGCTGATGTGTGTTTGCATGAAGGACCAAACATTGCAGCGGTGCAAGGTGCCAGCTCCAGCTGCACATGCAGATGCTGCTCGGGGACCGCCCACAGAAGCAGTTGCCTTGGGATCCTAGTGCTCATATGGGTTTGGGTTTGGTTTTTTTCCATTTCACCCATTTCTCTTTCACTTCCTTCCTGCCCCGCAGGAAGCGATGGTAAGAGATATGCCCCATCACCACGCTCACAGTTTGTGATACCCACACCTCTGCTCCTTCTGCCAGCCCACCAAATGCTTTCACTTGTCTATGGGGTTTCATTGAAATGCTCATTTAATACCAGTGCTCATTCCTCTACACTCTGCTAACCTAGAAAGATCTCTGCGGACCGTGCCACCATGTATCACTTTCTCCCATCAACGCCTTCGGCAATTATCACTCCACTTTAATTATTTCCCAAGCAGTTGGCAGGGGTGAGCCCCAGCAAAGCTGCACCCCCATGGGCACAGGCTGCCGTGCAAAGCTGCCCTTATCCTCCCAGCCTGAGGGCATGGATGGGACCGGACAGCACAGGGGAGGTGAGCGGGAAGTGGAGGAGGAAACAATGGCGATAAAATCATCACTCACCCAGAAACAGGACTTGGCGCTGCTGATGCTCAGCCCTGCACTGTAAAATTCAAGCCTGTCGTCTTCCACAAATTTATCCATGGCCTTTTCTCTCTCTCCCCCACCTGCCCCCACACATCCTGAGCAAGGTCCAGCGACTCGCCAGCCCCACAGCCACCGGCTCTGCCCCAGCTTTTATCGCCTCCTGTGCCATTTCCCCTCTGACACTTCTCCAGGCCCTCCTCTTTCACCTAGACATCTGTATTCCTGTTTTCTTCTAAGTAGCTGGGGGTTAAGATGCAAGCAAGTACTTTCTCAGCCCAGCGCTTGCTGCACCCGAGCCAGCCCTGCACGTGAAGTGGGCCCACGGGGCCAAGCTCCTGCCAGGCGCAGGCAGATGTGGCACTGTTTCCTCCTCCCACCTGGGTTACTTAGACACAGGCAGCATATTTTGGAGATAAACTGGGGATTAAGAGTCTGTCCTCACAGCCATTGCCCTGAAGCTAAAATCTCGCCTCTACAACACTCAACCCCCAAATGCTTTCAAATCACACGTGGCACCATGAAAACTCCCTTTGCGTTTAGGACAGGTGCGGGTTTACAAAGTTTTTCCACGCGTACTAAAATATTACTACTAATTAGGATAATAATAGCAAGTGCTAGCTGAGTTCTGCTTGCTTAATTTCCACCTGCTATTTATTTGCAGTTTGATGTGGTACTCACTTCCTGTCATGCATTCTTGCAAATTATTTCTGTGCTGCATTATCTTGCTGATGCGGTTCACCCAAGGAGTGGCCGAAACACAACTCTGACCATGTGTCACCACCAAGAAGTTCATTTTCTTCTGTAGGAGGAGGAGGAAAAAAAATAATAAAAAAATCAAGGCTGCCTTGTAACTGTATGCTGTGCACACGTGTGTATCTGAGCACATGTTGTTGTGGGCTTTTTTTTTTTTCCTACTTTTCCCCTTCCACCCACATCTTTGCACCCCAGCAAGCTGCAAGCTTTTTGTTCAGCTGCAAAGTGTCTGTTCTTCATGGAAAAGGTGTTGGTGCAGAACATAGTTCTGAGCCCTCCTAGGCAGGGCCAGCAACCAAGTTGTGGCTCTTCACACTCTGTTTTATTTCAACAATATTTCTTTAAAGCTTATAATAATGCTAAAGAAAAAGGGATGCCCTGAATAAAAAGGGATTTGCTCAAAGACTGGGCTTAGCCAAGAGCAGTTCAATGCAGTAAGTGCCCCCATCACACCCTCCCCAGCCAAGAGCTGGTGGGACATTGTCGCATGCCCATGGAAAGTGGCATTGGGTCCTTTTTATCCAAATGTCCTCATGTATCATCGAATCCCAAAGGGTCACCTCCAATGGGCCTGCTGGGCAAGGGCCCTATTTCTCTGGCAGGGGAAGGTCAACCCAAAGGCAGAACACTACTTGCACCAGGATGTTTAGTTGTGTTATGAGCTTTTATTTAAAAAGCACATTTATACAGCAATAATTTCGCAGATACAAACTTCAATTTTGTATTCTACAAAAGTCTCTGAATATTCTTCTCTTTACAAAATGGAACATTACAAAAATACAGACAATTTAATATGATTTTTTTTTATACAAATGTCTCTAATTGTAGTTATTTTCATTAAAATATTACTACCACAGAACTACAATATTTTAGTCGACTATAAAAAAATTAATTCAATGCTTTTTTAAGCAGCAAAAAGTAAATAACACAGGTCAGGACACAGTTTATAGTCATAGTGGATATATCTAAAATTGTTTCAGAAATAATACTTTACATAGTTAATTTTTAAGGTTTTATACATTATTTATATAATATATATAAAAAAATCATAGCTTGCTATAGTTGAAATGATAGGACGGATTCTGTAAGAAGGATGTGCAAATGGCCATTCTGCATGCTTTGTGGGATCCCTTTGCAAACGCGCTCTGTGAAAGGGCTGCAAACCAAGAACCTGTGGTTTCCAGGGAAGAAGAAGAAAAAAAAAAAAAAAAAAAAATCACACTTGATATAGGCACAACTGATTTACCACTGGTGTCACTGAGCAGAGCACAGGACCTGGTACCTGCCGTGGTGTGCACCAGGGTGCCCAAAGGAGAAGGAGGGGTGGGGGGGATGCACAAACGGACTGACACCCAGGCTGGGACGTGCCGCCCAGCAGCCCGTCCCAAAACTGCAGAATAAAAAGTTTCCTCAGGACTCAGCCCTGAGGTCGTAGTGCGAACGCGTTTTCAGCAGAGCCGCTGCTACCCACTTGCAAACCGCCAGCTCCCGCGGGTGTGCAGAAAGTCTGCTGTGATTTTTTTGGGGGGATGGCCGGGAAGCAGAGGATGCTCCTTTCATGAAGGGCCATTTGTGGGTGCTGCGCACGCCTGGGGGCTCAGGCAGGACAAACCCTCGCCAGGGAGAGAGTGGAGAGGAAGAAATGTAGCTTCTCTGCACAGAGGATGGAGTTATTCAGCCTCACTGCGCATCTCAGGACTGCTTAAAGGCATGTAGTGTGAACAGAGACGCTTCGGAGATCTTTGACTGGGCAAGCTTCTTCTAAACTAAGTCACAGTATGGAACAGAGGAGCCAAAAATAAACTAGTATCAAAAAGAGAAAAAAGCAACTCTTACAAACCAATCCCAGATCTTGACTCAGTGCTGTTTCTCGTATATAGTGCTACACAATTTAGTCGTGAGTTGTTTGTTTTTTTTTTTCCTCGCAGGCATTGGAAATCTTCATAGTAAAAAAACCTAAGATGGCCAGCTTTCCAAAAATCCCTTAGTGTTCATTAGGCTATGAACAATTTGGCGTTCACTACAACATGAACACTCAAACCAATTGCACATCCAGAACTCCGGCACCTCTCTTTGTTTGTTCCGCTTTTGTATTTTGTTTTTTTTTTTTCCTTCTCATTGTCGCTTTTGACTTAGTTGACCACCACCCCTTTCATCCAAATGTTGCAAGTTGAAAAGACCACAGAGTAAGACTTTACTGGTCGGGCAAAAAAGTCTCTCCCTACATTCTACTGTCTGATGAGATTTGAGAGCAGCAGGTAGTTGCTGTCAGCAGTCATTTTTTGCAAAAAAAAAAAAATTTTAAAATAAAATACGACACCCATCCGATTTCTCGAAGGTCTACACCATGTTGTGATGGTTATTCCGCTCAATGATGTCCACAGGTGAAAGGATCTCCTTCCGGATAGGAGGTGGAGGCAGGCAAGTCTTTGTCTTGGGCTTGAAAAGATCTGAGACGTAAAACACCTGTAGGAATAAGTGGAAAAGGCACACTTAGCCACACTGGGTGATGCTTTGTTCAAAAATTGGTTTACAGAATATATATATATATATATCTATCTTTAAGCTGCAAAATTAGCACTTTTTGTGCTATTGAATGCCTGCCCGTAACACTGACAGGTGTGAAATCCCAAGCGCGTGCTACCACCTTTCTATACAATACAGAAAAAGGCTCGTACCTCACAAAACATAGTGTAAAAACATTACAGAACAATTTCATTTCTCACTGAATAATCACAGAGCGCAATACCCAAACCTCTGCTGAATGGGTTGAAAAGCCAGGAAACAGATACACAGCCCACACTCCAATAAAATAACAAAGGTCTCCAAAGGGCTGGCCTGACTCATGGTGAGTGGTTTTAGGGATGGAGTTGGTGTGAAACAATTCATTCAGCCAGACATCAGGTATGCAATTAAAAGCTTTCAAATCAAAGCTGTATTAAAAGTTATCAGCAATGAGTCAACAGTGAGTGATGCTCTCCTCATGCCCCACCAAGGCACCAGTGCAGAACTGGGGTCTGGTCCTGACGCCAAAGCCTAAGGAGAGGAGGAGCTATTCCTGACTACTTTTTCCTAAATATCCTGTGATGTAACCCCTCTCCCGGATGTGAAAAAGCCGGTGCTTGGCAATTTCAGGAGGTAGCAACACAATAAGAAACAAAAGTGCTGGGAGGAAACTTCCACATCCTCCCTTGGCAGCCGCTGCACAAAGCTTATCAGTCCTCCAGGACCGGGGCACTTTCTCCCTTGCCAAAACTCAGCCCTGCACCAGAATGGAAAAGAATCAGACAGCGTGGATCCTCTGGACAGGGTAAAAAGTGACAAGGACTCATCACTTTGTTAGCTGGCACCACAGCCCCAAACTTCAGTCCTGCTGCCAACTGCCTCTGCTGGCCCAAATTTGCTGGCTCATCTCAGACATCCTTAAGCACCAATAATTCAGACAGAGCTGTGGGTTTGCTGAGCCAAGGCCTCAGTAGGAGCAGCATGTGGTTGTAAGAATTAGCAGCACAGTTGAATTTTCTCCCACAGTACTCAGATGCAACATTTAAGCAACAAGATAAATCAGGGGAAAAAAAAGAAGTCCAAGGTGCTCAAAGGAATATTAGATCAGCACGTCCAGGCGGGGTAACACGAGGAGGGAGCAAAGGTCTTCCCCTCTGCATCTCCATATTTTCTAGCTACCCAGAGTCCTACACAGCAGGTCTTGGAAACAACTTTTGCAAGTCACTATCCGCATGGGCAGATAAGGAGCTGAGCTGAACAGACAGTGAACCTGCTATAAGTAGCAATTTACTCCTACAATTATAACTGGGGATGCAGGAAGCCGAGCTGTTGTTGCTCGGCTTTTATTGCCTCATGGAAAAGCAGGGAAGGAGCTGACATATAAAACATATTTTGGTGTATGTGTTGGTGTCTGGCTGCCTAGTTGTATAACAGAGCTGATAAAGTTGTTGACTGGGCATCCAAGTGGCAGTGTTTGTGCCTTTGGTTAAATAACAGGATCTGGCTGAAACTACCAAGAATCGCAAGCTGGAGTCTGGCCTCTTGCTGCAGCAATCGCAGTGTAAAAGCAGGTTGAACTGCTTTGGCAATCGTTTTCTTACGGGTTGTTAATAACTAAAACCCCCATTCGGCTGGCTCGGCGCATTTCTGATGCCATCTCGCTCACTTGCCCACCTTGGAGAGCTGGATTCAATCAAAAAGATGTCCAATTTCTGCACCAAGATAGCCATGACAAATCAATTTATGGGAGGAGACTGCTGAGTGTAAGAAGCATATGGGGATTACACAGAGTCTGGTCCTTATTTTGGACAGGAATGAGTTACGGTGGAGTGTCATCCTAGGTATTTTAGCTTTTACTGCGCTGCTTGCTGCTTTTCAGGGTTTAATTCCGAGACTGGGTAAGAGGTTTCATTTCTCTTTAAACTGTATTTCACTTTAACATGGCTGGAGGTTATATAAACACTTATAGGAATAATGAAACGTGATCATTGGGGGTTAAAACAGTGTGTTAAATCCTCCTAATGCTTGAACTGTTGAACACAAAAAAGGACTAATAAACGTGCAAAGTTTTTCACTTGGATTAGCTCCATTTCCTGTAGAAGGTGCTCTCCACCCATAAAGAAAACTTGATGGCAGAAGACTGAGCATGTATTATACAAAGTAAGCCAATATCTTATATCGCCACTTAAGAATTCCTATTCCTTTTCATTATATTGAAGAAATCCTTAATCACATACAGAGAGATTAAAACAACTCATCTGAGCTAACCAGAACAACTGCAGAAGGAGCATGTCCTCCTGACACCTCCCCTTTTCGCTCTCCATCAGATGAGACAAACTACATGACACATAGCAGGCTGCCTACAATGCGCATAAAAACTATTTCCATTTAAGAAATGCTCATCATATTTCACTCTGGATCCGAGTCCAACTGTTTCATCAGCTGGAAGTGCTTGACACTAACATCTTCTGCTTGTTATTTCAGGCACTAAAGGACAAACACGGTTGCTGCAGCACAACCTGGATTGAAGCTCTGGCAGCCCTCGGAGATGAAACCCACAATTGGTTTCTATTGCAAATTACAGCCTGATAACTATGGTATTTTAACGGCCCTTGACTATCATCAGAGCAGACTCTTGAAGGCTTTGCTGGGGGAAGGAGTGTCTGGGAGCACGCAGGGTGGGTTGGAGGTGATGAGTCTCCAGGTCCCTCCCTCCCTCTGCTTCAGAGCATTCCGTGCACAACAGCTAGATCTCAGAGCTGGGCAAGGACCCCCAAGATATACCAGTAATTGCTCTGATATACCAGTAATTTTCGCAAAAAGCTGCCAAACTCTACATTTAGTGTAAACTCTAGGGAGTCTCAGGGAGACTCTTCCCCTTGTCCTTTTGCTGCCACCTCCCAAAAGGGAGGAAAGTCTGCCAGCCCCTCCTGGGCAATGGCTCACGCCAGCAAAGCTGGATTTGGGACAACAAGGGCATATTGCTGGTTCTTCGCCAGCTGATGAAATGGGACAAGGGTTGGGTTTAAACCCTGCCCAAGTCCTAAGCTGCTGCCTGAGACGTCCCCAGCCACCAAGCCATGCCTGCAAAGGGTGCAGAGACAACTGCCCCCTCCATGAGCCAGCTAGGAAGAGCAGTGCAGGTTGCCCCGGGCTTGCAGGCAAACCCGAGCCTGCCTGTGAAACTCCAGGCAGCTGCTTCCTATGCTGGTTTACCTCGACACAGGAAAACCAGCCCAGTGCTGCTGCACCCTCCCCTTCCCAGCACAGCTTCCAGCTGCTGGAGGGCCAGGAGGCGACAGCCAGCCCTGCCACTCGTCCGGGCCAGGAAGCATCCTGATGCTCATCCCAAGCATCCGGAGAGCTATTGTCTTTCTGAAACCACTGCTGGGATCCAGGGATGGATTGCCTGGTCCCTACTCCTCCTATATATTGCTGTTATCCCCACTTCTCAAGTGGAAAGGCACGCAGAGAGGTAAACACCCCCTTGTAAAACCACACGGTGATGTGCACTTGGTGTCTCAACAAACCCACACAATACAAATTCAGGCACCTGGACTGAGGCAAGCTGCTTCATTGCTTCCTGTGCGGCCCAGGGCCTTTTCTCCCCAGAGTTGCCAGCACTGCCATCGCAGTGCTACAGCTGACTGCAGGGATAGGAAAAAGTTACCAGGACTTGGAGGAACACCCCGACAGCATTGGAGTGAAGGACACAGGACCTGCAATGCTGTTGCTGCGAGCAGGCGTTACAGCAGCAGCACGCATCTGTGCGCACACACACTTCTCTGGTTTCCCCCTCTGAATTTGCCAGCCCTGCATGGGACACTGGCATCAGGCAACGGCAAAACCCAACAGCTACTGCTCAGAGAGTTAATAATACTTTATCAAAACTTCCCGACAATGACATTTTTGTTTTGGCTTTGGAATATTATCAATGAGTGGAAAGTACATAAATAACCTACTTTCTCTCCTTGCAAAATATAACATTAGTGAACTTAATTCCTTGCCTTTAGGGCTGCTTTACTTTTAGATCAGTTAAAAAAAACAAACAAAAAAACCCCAAAACCAAGAAAGCAGTAAGCTGTTAAAATCTTGCTTTCAGGAGTTCGTACAGACACAGAACAACCATAACCCCCAGCCCCTTTGTTTTTATGGGAGGCAGCCACCTGACCCGGTGCCCCCTACCCTGCCTACTTTAAACATCTACATATGTCACTTCGAGTTACAGGGCTGCACAATCAGGTCACTCTTTGGAAAGCAAATTGCATGAGAACAAGCCCGGCAGCCAAAGACAAACGGGCATGGCTTTTGTTTGCCGTTTTCTCACGAGCCCTTTCGGTACATTAAAAACCCACCACCAAATGAGGCACCCTGCCTCCCCTCACTGGGCAGACACCAGCTCCCGCTCCCAGGAGACAGCTTTTGGCTGGATTGTGCAGGGAAGAGCCATAATCCCAGCGACCTCAAACTCCTCGCTTGGGTCCTGGCAGAGAGCCTTGCAAATGAGCCGGTGCTCGTTACCGAGAGCAGCTGGAGAAGTGAATGCTGCTGGACAAGAAGGAAATACTCTCCCTTGTCTGAATGCCTTTTCAGTGCTCCAAGCTGCCTGGGCGAAGGGGCCCTTTACCCAGGAGCCTCCAGGAGCTCAAGGCTGATGGAGAAAAACCCTAAATGTTGCATTTTTTGCTGAATATGCAGTTTGTCTGGTGGCAGACAAGAGGAATTGCTTCACACCTCCAGCATGGCAGCGGTGTTTGCTCGTGAGGAGGGGAAAGCACTGGTGGGTGCACCCTTCTTTGCTGGGTGCCCATCAGGGCACCCATCATTGGGTTGGTAGGGTGCTCCGCCCTTGAGCCACACTCCACCTGCAAACAAGGTTTATACGCACTGTCACATGGGGATGACACTGGACTGAGCCTCTGGAGCACGCTGCCTACTGCCACATCCCCAGCTGTAATGGGGGATTACGCGAGCTCACAGTAGCACGGGCTGGTGAGGCACCCACTATTCCCCCGGGACCCCCACCAGCATCCCTGCTGCTGTTCCTTGCACAGTTTGCTGTACTCACCACGCAGTAAGCCACCAGGGCTCCCTGTGCAAAGCCCGCCAGCACGTCGGTGGGGTGATGCTTGTGGTCCGACACACGGGACAGGCCGGTGTAAAACGCCATCATGATGAGGGTGAACTGGAGGAGGGGACGGAGCAGGCGGGCTCCCTTCCACGTGAATCTGGCCTGCAGATAAAACTGTTGGGAAGAGAGGAAAACAAAAAGGTCGCATTAATTTGAGGGCAGCAAAGAAGAAGCTGTACCCAAAATGTGCATGCGTGGCAGCACCCGCTCCATGGGGCTGGCTGTGGGGCACCTGCACCCCTGTGGCTCAAGGAGGGGGGAGCTGTCAAAGAAGGATGCTCCTTGCAAACATGTGGCCTCCATCATGCAGAGAGGAATGGAGCTGGAGGGATTTTAACACATGGAGGGAATATAGGCAGAGGCAGATGGGTACAGCCCTCCCTTGGTAAGCCAGGGTCAGGAGCTTGGGACCCCCCGCATCCTGGCTCACCCCAGCCCTCCTTCAGCCTGCAAGTCCATCAAGGTCACACACAACATCCTGCAAATTCCTCCCCACCGCTATTTAGCACGTAACAGAAGCAAGGTCCCAAATTTGGGGCACGCAGGACCCACAGCATCTCTCAGAGGAAAAACAGGAATCAACACAGCATGCCACACCTCCAGGGCCAGCCCAAAGGATTTCCAGACACAGCGGCAAACACTGACAATGTGGATGCAAAATGCAACCCTCTAACATTGCCATCATGTTTCTCAGCCCAAGCCCTGGTGTTTGCAGGGCCGTAAGCGAGCAGCCGCCCTGTTGCATGGCATGGGAAGTCGCTCTTACCCAGCGAGGGAAGAGCGAGGTCCTGGCTCGACCCGAAAAGACGAAGCTGATATGACGTCAAATGGACATTGTGTCCCGCCCCCCCCCGCGACTATCTTGGGCCCATTTCCGTTTTGGCCGGCGGGTACGAATGGTTCCTGTGGGAACCGGGAAGCTGGTCGAGAAGAGAGGACAGGAAAACGGCAACCCGCTGCCCACAGATGAGCAGGGCCAGGCTCAGCACAGGGAGGAAGGCTGCGGGAAGGGAGGGACGCCGCAGCAAACTTCGGGCTTGGGGAGGAGAGAGGCATTCAATGGCTTGAAGAGTGTAAAAGAGCCTGGAAAAAAATGCTGCTCGGCTCCTGCAGCTTGGACCTGCTGCCCATGGGCTCAGCCACAGTGGGTGTTTTCTGCCTGAACCAAAATGAAGCGCTGCATCAGACCCAGCATGCTTCGTGGGACTCTGCAACATCAGAGGGCTGGAAGGGGTTTAATACCCATTTACGATCCCTTTTACACACCCAGGGCAGTTTACACTGCCTTGATATAAAAGGAATGAAGCTCTTGCTGGGTTCCCTGAAACCACAAATAACTTAATGACACCATTTACCTATAAAAGCTAACTTAATTGGAAAGCTGATAAGGGGATAAGCATCATTTTGCCCAATTTGGTATGCTTGGCTGTTGCATAAACATATTTACCCCTTTTTGGAAAGAACACACACTTGGCTCTTTAGAGGAAATGAAACATCATGTCATTTGAATGGAGCAGATGCTCCAAATTATCCAAATTGTTAGCCAATTAACATGGAAGAGAGCCGCACCAAAACAGCTCGGTGCTGGCTAATGCACGTTCTGATTCTGAAGAATATATCTGCAAACCAGCCTGAGTCTGGGAATGGAGCCACGTCACCACGGAACACACCCCACACCATGCAAACTTGCTCACGTGATGCTAGGGGATGAGTTACAGCCCTCTAGATACCCACACAGTAAACCCATGCTGATGTAGCCCAAGGAACGGACCACAGGGCTGGTTCTCTAGATTGTGGTGATAATTTCTGTGCTCGGGAGAAAGATGAGTCAACAATGAACGTATAAAAATTAGGAGGCATGTTCTGCCCATAAAGATTAAAAAAAAAAACAAAACAAAACACAAAAAAACCAAAAAACCCCCCCCACAACCAAAAAACCCACCACCAATGAGGAGGTGCTTTTCCTCCAGGTAAAATGCAGCCACCATTGAGCTGGAAAGCTGGAGCTGTAAAATAGCACAACGCGATCCTGCACAGTCATTTGCAGTGATTTAACAGCAGGCACTTCATCCTGCAAGCAAATATCTATGTGGTTCATTAGCAGGGAACTGCATTTTTAGTTTGCAATGCTTAGGCTGGCTGAATTTTCATTGCCATGGTATTTGTGCACCCAGTGCAGGATACTCCTGGGAAGCATTCAGGGAAGGTGGTGATAGAGCTGAGGGTCCTGATATCTTTAAATACAACTTCTCAGTGTAGAGACAATGTCCCTTGAAAAGAGAGTATCTGTGGAGAGTAGTATTTTTAAAGCGCACAGAAGATATAAAAGTATGCTTCTATTGCCATGGTCTAGGCTCAGGATTACTTTTATGTTTAAGAGTCTCAGCCCAGCCCAGGTGACAATGCAAAACTCAGGTGCCAGTATGCTGTCGCAGAGCAAAATTAGCTCCAAGTATTATATCTTATAAACTATTACTCTTAGTTCTACCAGGAAGACTTGAAACCTAACATCTTACTTTAGTCTGGAGGCTCCGTCATGTCAAACCCCTTAAGAAAGAAATTTGCTGCTGGATAATCTGACATTTGTCCCTTTTGCACAGCTTTGACACCCCCTCAAACCATTCCATCCCATAAGCTTGGACTAAATAGGTCATCTGTATGTGAGGAAGCAAAGTATCAATTAAAAATTAAGAATAAAAAGCTAACCCTGAGCTTAAATAAATAACACACAATAAAAGCAGATAAAGCAGATGCTTTTGGAGCTGAAGCCATTAAAAAATAAACATGTTTGTATACTGACTCGGTCCTTCCAAAGCACAGCTCTGAACTATGTGCCTAATCTACACACTTTAGCCCTGGAAAAGGTGTGCAAAAGCAGTGTGGCACTGTATGGGGTTGTGCTGGGTGCTAGCCAAGTCCCCAGCACCCAACTCACACCCACACCTGCCTATCTTGGAGGAGTAAAACCCACTCAAATAGTGCGGTGTCTGAGATGCATCTATCAGTGTAAGGATCTTGACTGAGCTCCTTTTACTGCCGCAATAAAAGTCTTGGGAAAATTGTTCTTTAGTTCCCCATTCATAAAGAATTAAAAAAAAAAAAAAAAAAGGAAAAAAAGAGGATAACAGCACTTTTCATATTCCACAGGTATATTATGAGCATGCAGTACGTTGAAAACTGTGCTCAAACACCAGGGTGCTGAGGATCCCTTAAGTACTTTAGAGGTGAGCCTCAGGGTGCTCCAAACTTTGCCTCTGCCCTCAGTATGAAAGAAAAACCTAGTTAACAAGAGAAGGTCAAAAAGCAAAAGTGGGGCTTGGGGGCTGAAAGGATCGGAATTTCCCTAAAACAGGAATTAGTGCTATTACTAAGAAATGGGAAGTTCCTGGCAATTTATCTGAAAACCTGCTTTTGACTTTTTTTTTTTAAACCTGGGAGCAAATCTGAAGTGCTGACTGCTAAGGACTGCCAGATTTGGATGGGAACAGCTGGATGGAGCCCTTCCTGGGAGGGGATGGAGGAATAAGACCACAACCAGGGTTATTTCCACCACAGACCATCACAGGGCAGCAAAAGTCAGGAGGAGCATCAACAGGAGCAAGTATGGATGAAATGAAATGGGATCACACAGAGCAGGAGTTACTTGGAGCTCCCATCCGCTGTCTCCTGGCAGAGGCTGAGTTACCACAAAGCAGATGGCTTGAAGGACGTCACATTGCTCTTCTGCCAGGGGACTTCCACAGTGTTGGTGGGGACAGCCTGTGGCCACATGCAACCCCTGAGCAAATACATCAAGGAGGAGCTGGCAGGGGACACGGGCTAAAAGCATCACCTCCAGCCTCCCGGGGCTTTCTGTCATCCAGAAATCCCATCCTATTCACACTCTCCCCACTGCAAGGCTGAACTCCATTAACCACGTCCCTTAGTCACAGCTAAGGTTTCCTTCTGAGAAATGGCTGGTCTTGTTTCTGACTGTCTGACCTGAAGTTACCTCCATCTCCAGCCCCATCTGCAAACAGAGCGGTACCCAAAGTGGTATGGGGCCAAAACCTCTCAAACCCAAATTCACCCTGGTGTAACACACTGCCCTGGCTGGGCAAACCCAGCTGGAGGAAGGGGAACTGCAGAATTCGGCTTTTAGCACAAAGATGGCCAGGGGACACGGACAGAAGAGCAAAGACCTCCCAGCACCAAAGGGATGTGTTGTTTGCCTCTTCCTTGCCTTTGCTGGATGTACAGCATCCTCCCACCCCATCGGGAACATCTCCATCAGTTCAGCAACACAGTTCACACCTCGGCCCTGGCCTCTGATGTAATTCCCGTTTATTCGCTTACTTAGGTCACCACTAGACTTGACTCCAAGTCTACAGCCACCACAGAGTTTCCTTTACATGGGCACATCATTGCTCAGCAGCACGAGGGCACTGGGACCTTCTCCACCTTTCAGCAAGAAACCCCAGTGCAAAGCTTTACGCTCACTCAGATACACAAAACCAGCAACATCTCTAATTTTTCATATAAATGAGTAGAACACACTAAACCCCATTCTGATCTGAAGTCTTCAATCTCATCCACCAACGCACATTAAATACGCAAGCTACCCTGTTTTACTCCCCCAGCATTGCTGACATATTTAACTTTTCTGACATTAATTTTGTTTTTCTGGATCCTCTGTGTAGTTTCAGACAACCTCATAGCATAAAAAAAAGAATAATTAGCATTATGGTCTCACGTGCTTGAGAGGAGCGGAAAGCCCCCATTGCTCTCTGCAAAGACTCCCGACATCCAGCAAAACAAAACCGAGAGGTGTGGGTCAGGTCCAGGGGGCTCCATGGAATAAGCTGTTGCATACCTCCTCTTTCCTCAGCCTGCTATAAATATGTATTATGGGCTTGCGCAGCCAACGAGTAACAAAGCAAGGAAAATTAAGACAAAGAGGATTATCCAAGTGTAATTTCCCCTTTTAAATTTTTTATACAAAGGCCTGATGTTAATTGGGTATTCTTGGTGACAAGAAGGCTGTGAGAAACTTAACCCCAAAGTCTCAGTGTTTAGAACTAAATCCCAGGAGGTTTTACTGTGTTGCAAGTGCCTTTCCCTGGGACTTTTCCCCCCAAAGCCCTCCCGGGCTTGCCATCTATCCATGTTTTCCCACAGGGAGCCTAGGGCCAAACTGCTTTCTCCCTGATGGATACCGCAGGGTACTGTTGCTGTGCCAGGCGATGGGGAAACTGTGGTCACCAATCCACCGGCCACCAAACATCTGGGCAAATCCAGCCCCGCAGTGCAGGCAAAGCCCCTTGGGATGTGTGGGAATCCAGGTATCTTTTAATAGATCAACTAAAGGTTTCTGGCACCCATCTCCATCAGGTGAGGCAAACTTGAAAACATTATAATTCAAGAATGGGCTCTAAAAGTGAAGCCAGGGAATGCCAGGAAAGACGGGAAGTGACTTATCCTTGAAATATGAAGTATTGTTCGATAGGGAATGCACTTAGGATGTGGCTGATCAGCCAAGCCTCTGTAGCACTCACTCAGCCCCACAAATACTCCCACTCTGCAAAGGGTCCCAGCAAACTCCTGGTACCCGAAGTGCTGGCAGCAACCTGCTGTGGCACAGCCCTCGCTTCCCAGGAACCAGAGAACAACCATTTTGTTTTGATTGAGATGATTCCCTGAATAAATCCATCAAACCTACCTCCTGCAGGTGCTGGCATGGGGGATGCCATGTTTCTAACCAGGCTTCCAAAAACCCACTCGATCACTGAGCTGGGCAAGAGAGCAGGGTTTATTTTGCATTAAATAAAATCCCTCTGGGTTATTATAACCTAATTTTTTAATTTTTGTTTTAATTATTTTGGGGTATTACCAGCCTCTCCAATGTGACAGATTCTCTGCCTCCCTTTTTCTATGAGATTTCTCATTCAGGCTCTGGCAGGGGAGCCGGAGTGATGGAGAGCAGAGTGCTGAGAGACAAGTTAGAATCATAGAATCATTTAGGTTGGAAAAGACCCTTAAGATCATCATTTCCTTGCCTCCGGTATGCACCGCATCACACTGGCTTGTCTCAAGTTGCCTTTTTCTCCTTTCAATTTATGACTGAGCACTTGGTGTAATTTTTTCCCCTGACTTTTTAAGGCACAAGGCAACTGAACAGCTGGTCAGGTGGAGCCTGCTTATCCCAGTTTTTGGGACAAGGAAAAAAATAAAATAAAATAATTCTTAAGGGACTGGGTGTCAAAGCCCCTTCATGAAGAGGGATAAGTGGATCAGCCTGCTGTCCTGGATCAGGCAGGGAGAAGGGCAGAGGCTGCTGATAGCCTGAGTGCTCCCATATGGGGACGAAGAAAGGCAGCAAAGAGAGATCAGAGACAGCTTTCTGCTCTGAAGTGTTACGCAGGAGCTAAACGCCACTTTTGAAGCCTGCTGCAAAGTTAAAAAGAAAATCAGGCAGCAGGCATTGGTGCAAAGCAGTTTTGGGGTCTCCAGTGCACCTCCTGCCAGTGGTCCCCCGGACACTAGTGTTCCTGCTGTGCTGCCCCAGGCCATTTCGTTTCTTACTTGCTCTGTATAACCACTGACTTTTCAGAAAACATGGAAAAAAACCTGGCAAAGCAACATGGTCTGTACAGCACACCCTGTGGAAACAGGGTCAAGCCCTGGCGACTTTGGGCAGCCACTGCTGAAGTGAGCAGGGTGGAAACACAGGGAGGGGGTGAGCGCTTGCCCAGCGGGGCACAGCCCCCCGGGTTTGTTCCCTACCCTGAAGGATGCTGCAGGGCATGATCCTGTGCAAAAGGTAAAGCATTGGGCTTGGCTTCCAAAAAGGCCCGGGAGCAGCATCTCCTAAAAAATACCTTGAAAGAACACAAATCTTGCTGAGTATTTGGAGAGAAACTGACTTAATAGGGAGTGGCAGTCCTCACTGTTTCCAGATGCCAGGCTTGAAAGCATCTCGGGGCTGACTTATCTGACTGTCCACAGAGCTCCTTGGAAATAAATAAATGCCAGTGTGAGTGATGGCTTCCAAATTCAGCTCAGAAAGTCTTGCGATGGCAGCAACAGAGGGCTGAGCCTCCTGCAAAGCATCGCCAGAGTGACTCTGCATTGTAACGCAGCTGGGAGGAAACGGCCAAAATGTTTACTGAAGAAATTAAAAAGTTTTCCAAGAACAAAAAAGGGGGGAAAATGAGGAAAGAGTTTAATACACCACCCCCAACAGCCTGGAAAGTTGAGTAATTAAATTACAGAAATTGCTCACAGGGAGGGGGGATCCAGGGCTGAAAGGGCAGGAGGGAGCCAGAGATCACTTATCTTTTCAGAGGGTAAAGAGATGGGGGGAAGCACTGCTCATAGATAAAAGCTCATGTTTAATGTTTTTATCAGTGTTATGCTGTTTCTTTGCTAGTCTGAGCTTACAGAAGATGGAGGGGGTACAAATCTTGACAGGAATCCAAAACCTTTTTCCTGATTTTCTAAAAAATAAATAATTAAGAAAAGCAAAGCAAACACAAATCACTATCCAGATCCTCCCAAAGCACTGCACGCGGGTCCAGCCCCTTGGGGGGTGCGGGCAGCGTGCCTCCCACAGCCCCTGCAGGAAGCACCTTGGCAGCCGCCCCGGCCCCAGCCCCGGCACAGGAAGGGTAGAGCCATTTCTCACTGACAAAGAAAAACAAGTCCCAGCCCTCCGCTCCAGATCCAGACGGGTAGAGGCTGCTCCACCTGCTCTGCTGGCACATTTGGGAACCAGCCTTCACTCCCCGACAGAGCTGCGATGGCAAAGCTTCCCCCTCCATCGATGCAACATTTTGGCTTGCCCCAAACTCTCCCCAGTGGAAACCACAACGTGGGGTGAACAAAATCGCACAGGTTGTCCACAGATTTAGTAGGATTTGGATTTAATTGCAGCCTTGGCTACATCCCAAAGCTGCACAGCTCAGCTATCACCCCAAGAGCCTCCATCCCAAATAACACCACAGGGTTTGAGAGTGGATCTTTCCACCACTGGCTTGTTCAGGCTCTTTCTTTCAACCAGCCCTTTATCTCCAACGCTCATTGTGCCATTATTGCTACTGAACGCAGGTGAGCGCCTTGGGAAAGGGGACAGGGGATAAATCAGCTCAACCTCAAGCAAGGCTGAATTTACTTACCACCAAATACAGCATGGTGTAGAGGGAGAAAGATGCGTGCCCAGAGAAGAAGGATTTCCTGCAAAACAAAGCAGGTGCTTAGAACCAGCCACTATAATATTTGATATTATAATTTTACATGTAATATGGTGATGTGTCTGCTGCTACCAAGAGGGTGTCAAAGCAGAGGGACCCACAACCCCCAATCTTTCAAGTTATAAAACCCCCGTTATCCGCCCCACTCGCTCGCGAGGCAGAAAGCGAACGGACGGACAGGATGCTCGCATTGTTCATCCCTTCCTGGTCTACTCGTGGGACAGCAGTTATTTCCAGGAGAGCCCGATAACTCATCGTCTCGCCTCAAATAACCAGGAAACCATAAAGAAAAAAAGAAGTGAGCAACTTCTCCGGTTGCTTAATTGCAGCATGTGAAATCCGCCCCTGGAAACATCAAAATTGAGCATCTGATGGATTTGATAGAGAGCTCGAACGGGAGGTGCTGGCAGCCCTGCCTGCATGGAGCCTCCTTGGTGGAGAAGTCCTCTGCTCTGCCACATGCGACAGCTTGAGCTGCTCACCATGAGCTCAGCTCTTACAGTGAATTCCCACATTAAGCAACCACTCAGGGAAACAATAGTGTAGGAGTAAAGAGAAAGGAAAAGAAATATTATTCAACTGACTCCCGCAACTCCCAAGGAAACTGCCTACTGCTAGCAGACAGAGTTACAGCCTTCACAGAAAAAGTAGCGTTTGAATCATCTATTACTGGCAGAGAAACCCCAAGATGTATTTAGCGTAAGACAGCATTTTGGTGGCAGCAACCCAGCATTTTGATACCACGAGCTCTCACCTGGCTTCCTGGACCTTGCTGTCGCTTCCCCTGCAGGTGTAATTTTGGATGTAAACTCCCTTAGCACAGTTGATTGTGGAGAAATCCAAATCGCAAACTTCCAGGAAATGTGGCCGCAAGCGCCCGACGGACACTTTGGCAATGTCTGTGAAGGACTGGCTGATGGCACAGCCAAAAACGAAGCAGCCCACCTGCTTGTAGAGCGCTGCCACATAGGGGTTCTGGATAAAGGAGCGCGACTTCTCCTTCAGGTAGTGGATGCGGTAGAGCTCTCCCGTTATAATCTGTGGGGGAAATGCAACAGAGGGGTTAGAGAGCAGGAAAGATGCTGTGTAAAACCAGCCACGGGTGGCAAATGCAGGGCCAAGACAGTTCTTCGTGCTCCGAGGATCTCAAACCAGGAATCTGCTTACACAGCGAGGAAGAAGAGCCCATAGCCCAGCATCTCTCCATCCTCCTCCCTCTCAAGAAGAGATTGCAGTGCTTGAAACGTTGTTTATGGAAAAATTTGATAAACAAGAAAAAAGCTAGATTTTGGCTTAGCAAATTGGCATATCTTTATAGAAGTGAAATAGCACCCCAGATCTATACCAGCATAGTGGAAAAAACAATTTAACATAAACCAGATAAAGAATTAGCATGTGTTTGGGAACGAGAGGCCAGATCTACTACCCTCTTATCAAACTGATTTTGGAGGAAAAAAATTAACAACCTGCCTATCTTCCTCTCTGAAAACCACGGACACAACAGTGGAAGATTCAGAAAGCCTAAAACTTTTCAGATTCTCGCCCAAAATTTGCCACCACCAGTCCCAGTTCAAGCTGCTCAAAGCCTTCGTAAACACCAACTATTTCTGGGTATTTCAAGGGGTCTTGCCATTGCATGGCAGCAAACGATGTATTTCTTGTAACAGGGGTGCTGGTGTTTGACAGTATCACCATAAATCACAGTCAGTGAGCAGAGGACCTGACTTCTCATAATTCCAACTCTTAAAAGGCAGGTTAATGAAAATCAGGCTGTGAAATTTAAGTCCAAATGTCTCGCCTCTCCCAAAGAGGCAAAGGCTTAAATTGTTCTCCATCATGTTATACACCTAGTTTTTGAGCTCCAGATTTACAGCTTTAGGATTTTATTCATTACTTTAAATGTTTTTATACCTGAGTAATAAATCGAGGCGGGGTTTTTTTTCGGCCGCCCCCTCATCCCTGCCCCTCTGTAGTCACAAGGACTGTGATACGTAAAATTAACTGTCAGGAAAAATGCCTTCAAGTTAATCCCTTTCTGGAGCAGCCAGCAATATTCCTCCCGGCCTGGCAGCCTGCCAGTGGCATGCAGGAGACAAGGCTCCCCTGCCTACCTTTTTTAAAAGCTTGGCACAACCTTTGGAAACTAATAAACTGGAAAAGTATGGCAATTAGACTAAGAGAAGATGAAGCTGTATCATTGTTTGAACTCACTCATACCACGGCCTGAAAAAACTAAGGTTGACCTAAGGCAGCTAAAATTGCAGCTAGGCAGGCTTTATCAAAGAGAGATACAATTACAATAATAAAAAATAAAGGCCAAGCTACAGCACTCTGCTACCATGCACAGAAATACTTTGTGTGGCTGCACCATCATGCGGGGTTTACCTGTCACGACTGAGATTTACTCTTGGAAATCTGGTTGTGACCAAGAGTTGTCCGAGGAGCTGCAGCTAACCAGCTCCAGCATTGTTTTAATCCTTTCAGACTCCAAAGACCACGGTTTATCTCCATTTTGGACCACCTTCTAGCACAAGCTGGCAGCCAGGAAATCTACTGGCATGAGAACCACAGAGGAAGGTTGGAGCGTCTCCTGCTCCTCTGCCAGGAAGCAACGCCAGGATGTCCTGCATGGACATGGATGCTCCTGCGCGAGGCCACAACCACCACCTGCAGCCTTCCAAAAGCCTAAATTCACAAGAAGGGAAGCCACGAGGCTCAAAACTCATGGATTTCGCACAGGGGAGATGAGCTGAATTAAGGACGACGTCTGATACCAGCGGATGTGCCCTTACTCCGCACTCACAAACGGATCCACGTAAACCCAAGGCTCTTGGCCTGGGAAAGGCACGTGACCAACAAAAGTCCGGGGATTAATATTTTTCTCTCACCGCTGGTGGTCTGGGCAATTGCACACATGTAGCAGATTGTAAATTGGAGACTTCATTCCCTCGCTAACATGCTGCTGGGCAGCCATGAACCCTCCCCACTTAGTTAAAGCCATGGCTCAACTTTAATGAGAAGCTAAAAATTAGGTAAACTTGTTTTTTTGGCAGTGCTGTCCCAGATAAAGCAGGACGGTGAAAAACTAATGCAGCACAGATGTGCACGAACTGAAAGGACATCCTGAAAAAAAAAAAAAAGTCAGAGATATTAAGCTCTTCTTATGCTTTGCACTTCTGGCAAGCCAGCCACGTGGGACATATGCCATGCCTATGTGATGGGCACAGCTCCCAGGGGACTGTCACACACATTTAGGAAAGACAGTCACTGCAGAGAAGTTAATATCAAACTTTTCTGTCTGTTAATGCCTTTTGCAGACATTTGGTTCTCGTGCCCATTTTATCGTTATCATAAGGTATCATCAGCAATCCAATTAGCCTGTAATTACTTTTAGAGCTTTTTCTATGTCTCTGGTGTATCATTCTCTGTGTCTAATCACATTGAAGCGCATCACCTTCAACTGTAAAACAATCAGCTAATCTGGCTGTGTAACTTAGATCATCTAGGAAATTAATTTTCTTAGGTATTTTTCATAGGCTATTTTTCAAGACCTGTCAGGTCTGGGGACACAGGGTGGCTCAGCAGCAGTACCCATATGAGGCTCAGGAAGAGGAAAACTTCACCTTCCCCTGGCCATCCAGGGGACCTTCAACATGCTTCTTCTGTGCCCAAGATGATTAAATTAACCATCTTCAAGCAGGAAGAGCAGTCAGGAGAGATGTGAGAGCACACAGTCCAGGGACACGAGCCTCCAGGGTCATCTACACGGAAATTTGCCTAAAGTCAGTAAACATATAGGTATTAAAACCAAATGCATATCCTCTCACATCCTGATCAAAGCAAAGGTCTTCGACTCTGCCATTTACTTAATGAACACTCTGGGTGTCCTCAAGCCAGTTAAAACATGACCTGGACCTTTTACCCTAGGCTAGACTGCCCATAACATCACATAAAGCAAGGGCATGAAATTTTGGCTGTGCCATCCAAAACGCCAGCTCCTGGAAGTCCTCATAACTGCTGTCCTGCCTTGTGAAGGCAAACTTTGTGAGCGAAAGGAGTGGAGCGAGTGCTTTGTGGATTTGGAAGGAATTCCTATTATGCTACAGTAATTCTGGTATCTGGGTTACATCTGAAAAAAGAGGTCAGGCTGACTTGAATTTTCCATGCACGCTGCCATAGCAAAGAAATCTGTTGCTTCAATTCCTCGTTAGCCATTTGTATCACTCAACAGCAAATAACCAGGCTTTTGAATTTACCTTATTAAGTTACATTTGTTGTGGGCACAGTAAAACCAGGGCAGAAACATCTAATTCTTTGGGGATTTTCTTTCTCTTTTAATTGACCTGCTATTTCGTGGTAGAAAGCTGATGGATCACATAGGCAGCTGATTATGTTTCCAGTTTCTGTTCCAACTCCTGTATTTGCCACTGCCTCATTACTGATCAGAAGCACACTCCGCATGGAGCCAGTGTGCCGATAGCTCAGGCAGTAATGTGAAAATGAGAGGCTTTTTCATTTCATTTTTATGGCTTTTCCACACTCAGGGGTAATTCACCTGCAGGGTAAAATCTGCCGTGTTTATAGAATTGCGGGTCTGGCACCTTTTGGGCTTGTTTTGTGGAGGGAGGGGGCATAGGAACAAGGCAGTTTTAGGGACCTACTTTGCTAAGAGAGCATATGTGGTCAGGAAATGATGAAGAGGATCGGGAAACGATGGAGATATTCACAGCACAAAGCAACAAGGCTGAGGACAGGGTATTACCAAAGCAGGCACCATGCCATGCTAAAATACCTATTGCCCGTGACATTGCTCCTATGAGGAAAGATGAAAGCTAGGAGGGGAACAAGGGCTCCTGACCTCTCCATCTCCATTCCTCCACAGCTGAAGGGCTAAGAGGAAGGCAGCACCTCTGGGAAAGCACCTGAGTTGGGCTGGCAGCAGGTGAGAAGGAAAACATAGGTACTTTTCATAGGGGAATTTCATCTTCAGCTGGAAGCATTTAACCAACAACCAGGAGACAGCTCTTGCCTTCTGCCCCAGCACCAGACACATGCTGGCATGAGGAGGCTCAGCTCCATGGGCTGAATTCAGCTTTTTGGCAGACACAAAGCTCTTACCATGCAATCATCTCCTAGCACAGCTCTAGGAAACCTGGCAGGAAAAGAGAAATGAGGAGACATTGGGAAGGTGATGCATTAACTACTTTTTACAGTGAGGACTCTGGGAATATGCTCCCCGTGGAAGGTTTTAATTGTCTTTTTAATAGGGCTGTAATATACAATCTCTTAAAAATCTAATACTAGCCTGTGAAAGTTTTCCAGGCACTGGTTAGCTGAAAAGATGTATCCTTTCTTTTTTTTTTTTTTTTTAAACCTTATAAAACAGGCAAATACCAAGAGTTATTTGAATAGGGACAAACCATGCCAAGTCCTTATTGACACTCAAGTCTTTTTGCTTCTACTCTGAACTCATACCAGAGGGTGAAAAAGCTCTTGCACAGCTCACAGACTTGCCCAAACAGCTTTGGGCCTGTTTATGGGCTTCAAGAGTCTCATTCCTCTCCATTACAAGCTTTCATTTGCAAATGTTTACTGCTCATGCGGAAGTCAGATAATCGTAGAGGAGATGTGCACCTTGGTAGATAGTACGGACATACCATCAAGACAGCGTTAAACCCCCAACACTGACTGGCCATTGGTGCCATCAGCTAAAGAGGTGACAAAAAGCCATCAAGGATGCCCAAGGGACAGGAGAGGAGGTTTCAGAGGTGGTACTTACGGCAAGAATGGCAATGAGGATGCCCGCAGCACACAGCACTGCGTCGTTGATTGTCTCCATCGTCTTCAGCGGGTACCTGATGCTGTCATCATCACAGTAGAAGCCCCGCTGGTAGGGCTGGATTGTGCTCGTTTCAATGATGAGGAAGGGCAACCCAGCTAGAAAGAAGGGGAGACAATAAGCAAACCCATCAGCAACACAGGCAAACAAAAGCAACTCGCAGCAACAACAACAAAAAAAAAAGACCCCACTAGAAAACCCCTTGCAAACCATGCAGCACCATTCCTGATGCTTTTCTTTTCATATTGCTATCTTTCCAAAGGGAATAGCATTGGGATTTGTTTTTCCAAGTTGCTCTTACAGAAGAAAAGCATCTCCTCTGTTATGGTTATCAGATGTCTGCACTGCCTGGTTTCAGTTAAGCCTTGTGCACTGCAAATATTAACTTACAGGAATGGACCCCTAAAGCAATCCCTCTGCAAAAAGCCATGAAAATGAATCTGGCTCTTTTCTCCGGGGAGGGCCCAATGCTTTGCTGAGGGCCCCGTGGCAGGGCAGCCCAGAGCTGTGCAAACAAACACTGGAGGATCGAGTATCAGCACAGCTTCTCCTACCTGGTCAGCCCAGCTACACTTCATCCCCATTATTTGTATGCCTCTGAAGCCTTCCTCAGCTCCCTCCTCTCTGTATTTACAGGTTATATGTATGTTTGTACCTACTAATGCTATAAGACTACACGCTTTGAGCAGCTGTGGGACACTCATCCTTGGCCCATCGTGCAAGGGGCACCTGAGCATGCACCCAGCCAGCCCATCCACCAGAGCTGCTGAACTCCCATCAGAGCCTGTTCACCTTCAATCACATTAGAGCCACGTGAAATCTGTTTTTATATGCTGTTCATGAGCCCCCTGTGCAGGAGACTTGCATCTGCACAGCTCAGCTAGACCCTTGCACCAGGCATGGAGCAGATGTGCTCAAAAACATGAGGTGATGGGTTACAACACACACTATGGAGGGGACACCTCGAAATTGCTCTACGTCTGTAACCCCATATTCTTCTAAGTCTTTCAGAGAAACACAGCATTGCCTCAAACCTGGAAGGAGAGCCCTGGGGTATATCCCAGCCATGACGTTACCTTGGGCAGGGCACCCTCCTTCCCTTCACCTCAGTTTCCCCATCCATCTTTGCTATCAAGCCCATCACGGAGAGGAGCAGTACATCCCCACCAAAACAAGGCCCAAATTCCCTGAAACCAGTGTTCAGAGTAAATCACAAACCACAAGGTACAGGAAACCCTCCTCCCACTTACAGAGCGAAACCTAGGTAAGGGGAAAACAAACACAGAGTGGTTCAAACTGTCCTTGGGCCAAGACAACAGGTCTCACACCCAGATCCTATGGAAAGCACTAGGAATATTTGTTGACCACTAAGTTGATTAAGTATCTGTGGCTTTGTTTACACAGCAAGAAGTCCAAGACATCAGAGGGTTTTTTCCTTCTAAAATTAAAAAAA